AAAAAACAATGACAGCTTCATGTACCACTTACTCTATACCAGGCATTATTTTACATGCCTTTCATGTCTTAACTCATCTGATTCTTACAATAATCCAAGGTAGGTTTTATTAATGTCCTATTTGATATACGAGGAGATGAGTACATAGAGAATTAAGTCGTTTGCTCAAGAAAACAAATTTTGTAACTCTGTGTTATAGCCTGTGCTCTAAACCATCACCCTAGACCCTCCTTACTCTCTTTTATAGCCTAAGGCACTAGCATGTGGAGGTGGTATTACTGAACTGAACTTGGATCTGCTCTGCTCACCTGCCATGTGGCAAAGCCAATCTAGTGACATTGGGTTGTGGTGAAGGAAAGTACAGAATCTACTGGAGGTCGTCAAACAAGGAGAACAGGCAGCTAATGATCAAGAGACCCAAACTCCCTGATGGCTTTCAGGAAAGAGTTTTTAAAGGCAAAATTTAGGGATGAGTTTTGACTTTCTTCTGATTGGTTGGTGGTGAGGTAACAGAAGGGTGATATTTTCATCATCAACCTTTTGGTTCCAATCCATCTGGGGTCTATATGCCTGTGGACACATGCAGTCACCATCCTCCACCTGGGGAGGGTGGTCATAGTTGCCATAGAACAACTCAAGCTATGTGTCAAATTGTTATGTACATCCCTTGAGGAGGAACCAGGACTCTGCTTCATGGGTGAACTGTTGTTGAAACTATCGTTACTTTTCTTGCTTGACTGCCTTTCCTTTGTTTCTGCCTTCTCTCACTTCTCTAAATAGCAAACTGTTTGAATCTGCTCTTTGAAATCCAGGGAAGGCCTAGGAAACTAAATCTTTTTCTACAAGTAAGAAACAGAGAACACAGAGGGGCTTTTGTCTCCAGGCGTGTCCCACAGGGTCCTGCTTGGTTTCAATCCATGTTTTTCTTTGACACTCCTCAATCCTGAGGGGAACGGACAGGACAAGCAAGGGAACAAAGCTCTGGATAGAGAGGTTGATCATAAACTCAGCAGGGGAACTCGGTTTTAGTGGGACTTAGTTTCAGTGGCTATCTCATTTGGGTCATTGTCTGTATTGGCATTTACTGAAGCATCTTCCTCCCACCAGCAACACACACAGGTGCTTGCTGACTGATCCCTCACCCCAAGGCCCCTCCATGACTGACAAGCTTTCAGCTACTTTGACCCTCCCCTTGGGATCACTGCAGTTCTCTTGCCTTGCTGAGCCCTGGGCACTCTGCTTACCTATGTAAAACCTCTCTGTCCAGGTGCAACATTCAACCACATTTCCTTGCCACCTTCCCAGTCACTGCCTGGAAATCAAGGCACATGTCCCCTCTACTACCAGATCAAGATCTCACAACCTAACTGGGATTCTGCCCCCCACCTCGCCCCCCACTCCGAGGCTTGGCCACAGAAGGCAGAGCATAGACCCTGGGAGGTCATCACACTCCCCTCCTCCTCTGACTCCCCTCTGCCTGGTCTGGGAGCTCTTTATTTGGTCATGGGTGGGTGAAAACTTGACTTCAACCCTCTAGAAGTCTATGGTGGAAAGTCAACCACTGACATTGAGCCCTTTAAAACTCAAAATCCAAGAGCTGGCTTCTGTTTTTACCCTTGAACATCTCGTTTTCCAAATATAAAAAGTGCCAGAGAGTTCATGGAAATACTGGAAATGACACCTGTTGCTGCAAGCTATTGAATAAAGGCTGAAACCTTTCACATACTGTGAAGCTTAGCTAGAAATATTCCAGAAAAATACATTTTATCCACCTATTCATGTTTATCTATGTATTGATAAATTAGTTCATCAAATATTTATGATACATTTATAAAGCACTGTATTTGTCAAGGTTCTCCAGAGAAACAGAACCAATAAGATGTGTATATAAATAGAGAGAGATATTTATTTCAAGGAAGTAGTTCATGTGATTGTGGAGGCTGGCAAATCCAAAATCTGTAAGGTAGGTCAACAGGTTAGAGACCCAGGGAAGAGCTGACGCTGCAGTTCAAGTCTGAAGGCCATCTGCCGGTAGAATTTCCTGCTCATCCAGGGTGGTCAGTCTTTTCATATTAAGACCTTCAAATGATTTAGAAGGGCCCACCCACATTATAGAGGATAACCTGCTTTACTCAAAAACTGTTGATTCAAATGTTAATCCCATCCAAAAAAAAAAAAAACACCTTCACAGAAACATCTAAAATAGTGTTCAAACAAATATCTGGACACTGTGGCCCAAACAAGTTAACACATAAGATTAACCATCTCAAGCACCTATTCAGTTGCTTTTCACTGAGATTTTAACAGATAAGACATAGTCCTTGGCCCTATGGTATTTTCTCAAAAATTCAATAATTGACCAGTTCCCCAGCGTAGACAAATTCAAACTCAAGTGCAAAAGGCTGAAACCAGCTCCTTTTCAAATAGCAAGTAGGGATAAGAAAGAAAAAGAGGTAAAGAGGTTGCTGGGTGCCTAAACCATCACAAATACATCATTAGTAGAAATATGGGTGCTAAAGGCACTGCTGGTGAGGACTCAGAAGGAAATGAGGAACATGCTAGAAAGTGGAGGAGGAGGGATCCTTGTCATGCAGTGGCAGAAAACTTGTCTCAATTGCGTGTCCCACAGTTATGCGGAAATCAGAACTCACAAGTGATAAAATTGGATACTTAGCTTAAGAGATTTCCAAGCAAAGTATTAAAGGTTCCTCCTAGTTCCTTCTTGCTGCTTATAGTAAAATGTAAGAGGAAAAAAATAGATTGAAAAAGTGGCAAGAAAAAAGGAACCAGGATTCATTGATTTAGGAAATCCTCATCTTATCCAGATTGCAAAAGATCTTAAAATTAGGAGATTCATTGGTAGGAGGTCATGCCTTGGAGAGGAAAGCCAAGAGTATAGCTGGGCAACCTTTTGTTAGTGCCATAACTCTTTAAAATAGGCATCATTATTATTATTATAAATATCATTTAGATTTATTTATATGATTACCAGTTTCTTTGCTTCCCACTAAATTTTACATTTCAGACATCCTTTCTAGAGTCACTTTTTCCTCCTTTCTGGAGTATATCATTAGAAATTCCTTAAGTGAGTTTCTCTTGGTAGCAAACTCAGTTTTTATCTGAAAATTTCTTTACTTATCCTTCATTGTTAAAATAAAATTTTAACAGTTCCAAGTTGACAGTTAATGTCTCTCAGCCTTTTGAACATATTATTCTATTGTCCAATGGCTCCCATCCTTGCTGTGAGAAGCTGGCAGTCAGTCTAACTGCTGAGTTTTGAAGGCATTCTCTTTTTCACTCTTAGCAGTTTACTGAAATCTTAGCAGTTTATTGTTGGTATTCTGTAGTTTCATTAGAAGGTTTCTAGAAGGGAGTTCTTTTTGTTAATCCTTCTTGACATAGGTTTTGATTCCTAGATCTGTTGGCTCATCATGTCTGGAAATTTTGCAGCGATTATCTCTTGTAATATCTCTCCTCCAACTTCTCTCCCCTCTCTTTTAGCACTCCAAATAGACTCCTTTTAGACTTTCTCATTCTACCCTTTGTACTTGGTGACACTCTTATATATGCTCAATTCCCTTGTTTCTCTGTGTAAATCTCTCTTCCAATTGATTAATGACAGAGTCTCAGCTGTGTACAAGCCCATGGTATGACCACCCACTCCTCTCTAGGGTATTAATTTTTAAAGTTCCAGGATTCTGAATCCACACTGCCTGGGTTCAAATTCTGGCTCTACCACTTACCATTGTGTGACAATGGACAAGTGACCCAATTTCTCTGTGCTCAGCTTCTTCTTCTATCAAATGATGGTTGGTAATAGCTCCTCTCATAGGACTGTTATGAGGAATAAACAAATTGATATGAATAAAATGCTTGGAAGTGCTCTAAAGCTGCTTTCACTTACTTTGAGTACTGACACGTGCCTCCATGTTAGTTGAAGGCTCGCTCATTTGTTTTAGCTCACTGAACTTAAAAAAAAAAATGATCTTGAGGATTTCCTGTATTTTCTTCCAAGCTAGGTAAGCATTTAAACATACGTTTGTTAAAATTTATTCAGGATCTAGTTGAAAAGAACGTTTGTTAAAATTTGTCAAGATTCTAGTTGAATAGCCTAGTAGGAAGGCTTTTCTTTAACTACTTAGTTTGTGCATTGCGGAGATTGAGCTGGAAAAAGCATTCCAAAGCAGGTTCAAGGCTTTGCTAGGGCTCTTGGATCCTTCCAACATTTTAAGCTTTCCTAGAATAGGAAAGGGCAAACAGAACAATAAAGGGCTGCTTTGTTCCAAGCTCTCTTTAGAAGCATGACCATGAGCCTCCCTTTACGCCCCAGTGGAAGCCCTCCGCAAACTGCTCTGACAACCCTTGGTGTAAAAAGCCACTCTCTACTTCTCCCTACACTTACGCTGTGTACAAGTATCTATAACAATATATGTAACCATATTATCTCTTATTTAATCTTATATTCTCTGCACATAGTAGTTCTGCACACAGTAAAAGTTTGTTAAATGCATGAATGAACGAGTGAAAGAAAAGGCAATGGAGGAAACAACCTATATGAAGTATGAGTTCTTCCTATGATTTAGAAATAAAGATGAAACTTCCCTCACAACTTTCAACATACTGAATCCTCATGAACAAGCCAATTGCTAAGCATTGTTTAAAGACCTAGAGGTAACTACCATATAAAAAGCAAAAGCATTACAATTGGCCGTTTCTGGGGAATGAAATCAAGACTAAAGAGAGGTGAGTCAGAGATCTATGATTTTTCTTTAAAAGTCCTCTGATATTTGATCTTAAACTACGTATATCTTGATTTAAAAGTATTTAAAACCAGAGATGAGTCAGTTTTGGACCTGCTGTAACTCAAAAGCAGCCTGCAGTATGTTTGACCTCATGGGCTTTTAGACAGTCCTTTTTTTTTCCTCTTAAATTTTGTACCCAAAGTCCTGATGACCAAAGAGTTGTTGACCCAAAGCCAAGGTGTCAAATAAACAGAACTGTGGACTTTAAGAAGGCAGTTCCAACGGACCTAGACCAGCTAAGCAGGCCTGCTGAGTGGTGCCCGGAGGCAGCTGGAAAGGCACTAAGTAAATCAACGAACTCCATGGTTTTCCCGAAGACCTCTTGATATCAAAATTTCTTCCCTTACATGCGTCTCCTCTGATCCTGTGGAGATGAAAATTGACATCCACAGTCATATTCTACCAAAAGAATGGCCAGATCTAAAGAAGGTAATGATGACTAATTTGCTGAATTATTTCTAGAACTGCTCCAGGGTCAGTGCCTCTGTTACAGACCTATGTCTTCTTTAGGGAATTAGATGTCAAGTTTCTCTGCTTTAAAAGTGACTTTTAAGTTATTTGGTAGCTCTGATTTCCTAGTTTTTAAAGTTGACTTCCTATTTATTTTGAAAGGACACTGATACAAGACGTAGGTGCTCTCTCAAAATCTCCTTTCCCTCCTCAAACGAAGCATTCTTTAAAATTTCTGGACAATGTAAGTCAAACAGTTTTACTTCCATTTAAGTCATATATTCAGCTGCTGGGGAGATATGTGCCAACTATAGATTTTAAAGTTAAAGTTTCAAGTAAGAGACTATTAAAAATGGAATGTGATAGGTTTCCAGGACTTCTAAAACATAGCTCCCTTCCAAAATGTTTAAAATAAGTTTTAGAAGCACCAAATGATAGCTTTGTGGAATTTTTTTTAGTCTATTTTAGAACACTGTCTGAACCTTTCCTTTTTGATGTTCTTTAAGCTGTAAATCCTTGTTACGAACTAGAGAGTAGGAACATCAAAAAAAAAACAACACTGTAAGAAATGACATGAAGCCTTTGCACAATGAGTGCCTCTAAAGACTGTTCTCTGTGTTTCTCAAAAGATGAAAATTTCCCTTCGTCATTAGGAACTGTTAAATGAGTACTGGAAAAGGAAGGTGAAGGACAGGAAAGAAATTTAAAATTGGTTTGAGTTTTGTTCAGGCTAAGTATCACATTTTACCCAATCTTCAGCCTTCACTGGTACTTTTACCCTACTGATAATGTTTCATCTTTTGTTTCATCTTTTTTATCCCAAGGGAGGAAAACTGCATTAACCCAAACCGTAATTAAAATGTGGTTCCTTGTTTCATGGTGCAAGTAGATGAAACCATTTTCTGTCTCCTAGAAGAATGTTCATCTTAAGTGTTTCTGTGTCCATTGGTATTTTAGGTAAGATGGGTAGTAGACACTGAAGGTCAAAAAATACAACAATGTTAAACCATCCTTGAAAGGCTTTCCTATTACAGCTGATGATAAGAGCCAACCCTATCAAACTAACACCTCCAAGAGGAGCCTACATGTCTACGTGAGAACTTGCTGTTCTGAATGTTGTTGTCCTTTTATTTTATTAACCCGTAGACACCACTTCACAATGTTAGTGATGAACACCCAAAGCAGCCCAAAAAGGTGCCTCTTCTTTGCTGAAGGGAGAAAACTTTCTACCCAGTATCCTGGGTCACAACCCCATCTCCCAGTACTGTCCCACCAGAAAGAAGCCTGCCTCCAGTCTGAGCAGAGAACTGGTCACCAAGAGCTGACAATTTCTAGGTGCCCTACCCAATGCAGGGCCCTGAAGACATTGTTAAAACTGCCCTGGGAAGCTCCAGGACACAGAGCACTGGGGAGGCTACAGCCATCAATGGGTGCCCCAGAGACCTCCCAAGCACAATTTCCACTGGCTCCTGACCCGCCATACCCTTCCTACCTTCTAGCTATGCTTCAAAAGACAGGAAGGGCATTTCATACCCATAAAGCAGACTTTTATCTAGCAATCTCACATGCTGCAAGCAGATAACTGATATACTAAATGATAATGATGATGACAGTAATAATAATCATAATACTCATACTTTCAGAGAGCAATATATACATGTCACTTGAGTCACATAAAATCTTGTGAATTGCAAATGGGATTTGTATCATTAACCCTGCTGGACAAATGAGGTCCCTGGGACTCAGAAACAAACCTAGACACCCAGAGCTATGTGGGGTTGTGGTGGCCCCCCAACAGCTCTACCCCCACACCCACCTTGAGAGCGGGTCCAGGAGCACATCACTGCTGTAAGGGATGTGCCACCCCTTACTGCTTCCCCCTGCCCTCCAGTGCCTCCCTGGACATCAGCACACTCCCCAACTCCCCACACTCACATAAACCCACTGAGAATTTCCTCACAGGGTCACTGAAACCTGGCTTCCAACCGGCAGGTCAAGCAATGGGATCTGTTAGCGGTAGAGGTTTCCATTTGAGTGCAGACAAATCAGTGCTGAAACAACTAACAGAAAACAGTTCCTGTGTTTTCAAATGGGGAGGGGTAAGATAAATAAAAATACATCTAAATGGTGCCAGGATCCTTCTCTTTCTCTCTCTCCTGCTATCTCCAATCTATACAATCAGAGTAAAGTGAGTATTACAGTGACATTAGTAAATAGCAGATATTCCTTGGTGTTCATATCATTCAATAGCTAAAGCAGATTTTCCTTTGTCTTCAGTTAATTTCTTGGTGGGTAAAATATTATTTCAAAACATCAATCTCTGATCTTTTCTCACCATTTTTCCAACTTTCCAATAAAAGAATGCAAAGAATAAGCCAGTCTTGGTTTTATTTTAGAAGATGAAGCACCTTTGGAAGAACTAGTATCTCTTTTCAAACCTGCCTTTCCTTATTAAATATTAATAGACACACTTCAATAACCTTGACCTCCTTATGCAGTGAAGAAACAGAAAAGCAGAATCAACAGGCTGGGGTTGATGATTAACTAATGATTACAAAGGACTGGGAATTGAGAAATGTTTTCATTTTCACTTGCTAATAATTATTTTAGTCAGAGTTACAGTTAAGCTCCTGGGGGTGGGGCTCTATCTGATATAGAACGGGAGCAGATTCAGGGGGCATTCAATTAAATTGTTTCTGATGAATCAAGACCCACACTCTGGCCCAAGAAACCACGGTGAAAGTTGTTTCAGGCTGATCTGCAATGAGATTATTCATAATAACAAGGATGATAATAAGGTTACAGACTTTCCCATCATCAGGACTTCACTGCCCACCTACTATGTGCCAGACAGTAGGGCTTGCAAAGATTCTTCTAACTTTATTTAATTTTTTTAGTATAAACGAAGTTTATTCTAAGAAGAGCAACTCACTGAGAGATAAAATGTCAAATATTTTCAGACAGTGAATACCACCTGGCATATGATCCGACAAAAACTATTCCCAGGGTCATAAATTTCAGCCCCCTGGCTTGGTTCAACCTAGGATGAGAGCTGAGGGACTGTGTGGAGCTCAGACCTGGAATAGAATCAAGTTGCCCCAAATAGGTTAGGTCTTTGCAAAGGCTCAGGGGAAGCACAAAGTCTTCCGAAGAGTTCCAAGTGCTTTCTAAGCAAGGGGAGGGATGGAGCACAGAGCAACAAAGGGCTCCTTCCTTCACAGCGCTCCTTACTGTCTGATCCCAGGATATGCCTGATTTCACGACCTAAGGATGAAATAGGCTGTCACCACCATGCCACCCCCTCTGCCATTACCACCAGCCACTATCACCATCACCATTATTGGTACCACCACTGCCACCAAACTCACAACCACAACCATCACCGCTATCATCTCGTAGCTTCCACCACTGCCATTACCACCAACATCCCTACCACCACCATCACCATCACTACTATTGCCACCACCTCCGTGGCCTCCACCACCACTGTCCCCACTGTCCCCATCATCATTGCTGGCTAGTGTCAATAGCTTTCTCTTCATTGTTTCAGTTAATTCCCATAAAAACCTCTGTAATGGCTACTGCTGTTAGCCTCCTTTTACACATAGAAAAACACTGACTTCAAGATGTCAAGTTACTCCAGGAAAGTAACATATCTCGTAAGTGGATTGTTGTGTGTGACAAGACCCCTCTGTTCTGCCTGCCTCTGCCTCTCTGTCCTTCCCCAAATGGAATAGGAATACTCTTCTAACCCACTAATTTATGGGTTACTGTTCCATAGGGAATTAGGAAAAAGTAAGAAAGAAAGAGTAAGGAAGGAAAGAAAGAAGGCTGAAAGGAAAGCAGGAAATAAAACCTTTTCTTTTACATCAAAGTAAGATTTCAACGGCAAATTTCCAGTTTGAGAGAGAGTTTAAGTTTAAAGTGTAACTGATTGAGGCCGTATTCCATCCCTTCCTCCAACATACCTCTCTGGGCAACTTTATCCTGGGGAAGGGAGAGGAAAAGCACAGGGTACTGAATGCATGAAGGGGGTGGGAAAGGGCTGGCAAAGGAGAAACTGGGTGCAGGGAGGAGAAACTGGGGCCCCTGGTTGACAGGTTCCCTTGCGTGATCAGCCAGGTGCTCCGAAGTCACTTGGGAGGAGGCAGGGAGATTTCCTGAGCTAACATGATTATTTGGAATTAGAATTCAACAACAGACCTTATGCCCAGATAGAATAAGACTGGTAAAAAACTCAGCAAATCTTAAGTCTGTTGGGGCACATGCCAGTCATGGACACACAAAGACCCTGTGCTGCAGGCCAGGCCGCCCCTCTCAGTCTGGAGGTGAGAGGGATCTGCCAAGACCTGGCTCCCCTGAGACAACTTCTCTGCACCATGACATAAGAACCAGATCGCGGTTAGCTGGTCTCATCCAACTACGACAAGCGAGGAGTTGCACCGAGACTTCACTTCATCAGCTCCGCCCATAGTGGCTGACAAGAGCTGTTGATGAGCTCTGGACATCGCTGTCTCTGGCCTCCACACCCTCCCTTCTCACCTCACACTTTGAGAGCCATTGCTTTGGAGCATGGAAATGCTGAATACTGGAAGAAAATCTCCAATCTGACTCCAGGCCACCTTTTCAACCACCCTCTCATGACACAACCTGACCCAAGTTGTGCATCAATGCCTTCCTCCAGGCTCCCAGAGGACTTGGGTGTCAATCAGTCACAGCATGTCCCACACACGACAAGGCTCTTCAATTACTTGCCCATCCCAACCTCACCCTCCCAAGACCATGCTCCATACACGGCTGTTTCTCAGCCCTCGAAAGACTGGTCAGGGTGGGACCCCATGAGGGTTTGATGAAGAATGAATAAATAAATGAACAAAACTGAATTTTAAAACCTATAGTTACATGAGTCATATATACCTATGTTTTTAGGCAGAGTCTTTCAAAATTTTTTATTCACAACCCCCAAAAAGAAATATATTTTATATTTGTGAGTCAGTAGAAACATGTAGATACATAATGGAAAAAAGTTTCATAAAACTAATACTACACGGAAGGCATTCAGATGTATTTGTTCTGTTCTGTTCTATTCTATTCTATTCTATTCTAATTTTATTCTGTTCCTTTCCATTCCATTCTATTGCTTTACTATCTTAGCTTGGGTTTTCCAAGAAGCAGACCCTGAGACAGGGATTCAAATGCAACTCGTTTACTTTGGAAGTGACCCCAGGAAGCACCAGCAGAGAAATGAGGGAAAGCAAGGCAGCCAATGAGAGTGTAGAATGTGTGCTTCACCGCAGTCATCCTGCCCGAGGCGGGAGGAATTCAGTGTGTGGAGTTTATATACAGATCCCCCCAGCCATTGGTTGATGGGTTCTTCGGGGGGCAAGAAGAGCGCATCACTAATTTCCTGGTACTTCTGCCCTCCTAGAAGTTCCTAATCAAACTGGCTCCAATGGCAAAAGGGAAACCCTTGGCAAAGAAATGCCAGTAGCTGAAGGAGGGCTGGTGTGCACAGAAGCGCTACAGGGAGGACATATGGGTGGGACCACCAGCAGCACCTGTGACACATACGATTTCATGTTTTTAGAACATCTGGGCCATTAACCACTAAACTCATTTTGTGATCTACCCACGGATTGTCACCCACAGTTTGAAGGGTTAGTGTTCTAAGACAGTCTTTCCTAAAGAGCGTCCTTATGGTCTGTGTACTCCCGGTGGTGCGGAAAGGATTTTAGTACATGAACAAATATTTTTTTAATGTTCACCTTCACTTAAAAATCACAACCTGCATCTGGAGAAAACGTAAAACTAGCACTTCTATGATACAGGATTTTCTTCCTGAAGAAATCTGTTTCAGGAAAAAATTAATTGGTTTGAATGTAAATGCTGAATAAGTGATACATGGGCACAGGGAGAAAATGGGAGGGTGTTGCCTGCAAGGAGGGAGCTCGGGCTGCTCTGCCCCAGGGATGCCCTTTACCGCAGTCCTCTCTGCTTTGGTCTTCCTGTCTAACTGTGCCTCTTCCCCTGCAGAGATACGGGTACGGAGGCTGGGTGCAGCTCCAACACCACAGAGAGGTGAGTTTCTCCCAAAGCCTGAGCGGGCCTCAGACCCACGGACATCTGGGTCTGAGACCTTCCCACGGGTGGGTCTCCTTGGAGCTCAACTCTTCTGCCCTTCAACTGACTTTATAGTAGGCAAGGGAACAACACTGAGGTTTCTCAAAATTATTAGGAAAACTGTGGATAACACCAAAGAGCAGCATTTAGGAAAATCGAATTGGATATTGAGAAGTCATTAAGAAATGTCTCTCTCTTTTTCTTTTTCTTTTTTCTTTTTTTTTTTGTCTTCCTTAGAACCAATTTTAGCCTTGCTCTGCCTCAAGGAAGTAATCTGGTCCTTCCCCCAGTTATGACAGTATATTCAGACTGACCAAAAAAATACAACAGTTTAGGTTTGAGCACAAGCTGAGAAATTAAACACTAGAGACAAAGGGGAGAAGCCGCTGTTACTAAAGGCTGAGTTTGGTCAAAGGAAAAAGCAGGAGGAGGAAGCCTTAGGGCAAAGCATTCTGGAAATGACGAGACCTGAAAATGAGCTGCAAGTCTCGGGCTGCACAGGGGTCAGGTCTGACTTTATTTTAAAAGGCATCACGTGCCTTCGTGAACAGCATGGGGAACCCTCCTGAGCCTCCAGTTGATGAGCACAGACATGACTAAGGCAGGTCCCGGAGCACTTGGGGTCTGGGAAGCCCACGTGCAGGGGTAATGCAATGCACCGTGAGAAGGTGAGGACAGCTTTTACACAAGGTGCTGGAAGACACAGATTCCTAAGGAATCAAGGGAACAAGAAAGTAAAGACAGGGAGTGAAGGAATGGAGATATTAAACACACAGAAGTCCAGAACTCAAGTGCTTGGCTATGGCTGGTACCAGCATTTCTCAAAGTGTGGTCTGCAGCCCAGCAAGTTCAGCTTCACCTCGGCACTTGGGAGACATGACGTTCTTGGGCCTCCCCCCAGACCTATCAAATCAGGAACTCTGAGGATCAGTCCAGCAATCTGTGTTTTGACAAGCCTCCAGGTGATTCTGATGCTCACTCAAGGTTGAAAACCACTGGTTCTATTCATTCACTGACTCACTGATTTTTATGGACACGTATTTTGCGCCAGGCCCACCAGTCTAGACACTGGGAAACTCTGATGAACAAGACAGACACACTCCCTGTCCTCATGGTGCTCAAATTTAGGGGGAGACAGACAAATATGATCACTTTAGAGGATGGAAGGGAAAAAGTCTTGTCACAGGGAGTGACTGGGAAGATTCATTTGGGCTCACTGGTCAGGGAGCCAGCTAAGACTTAGAGGAAAAGCCTGGAAGGGTGCCTCTGGCTGAGGGAACAGCAGTTGCAAAGGCCACCATATGAGGAAGAGCTGTGTTCAAGGAACAGAAAGGAGGGCACTTTGGCTGAGATGTAGTGAAAGAGGGAGATGGTAGGAAATGAAACTAGATCACAAAGGAACTTGGAGCACAGGCTAATAAGGAATCCAAATTTTATTCTTAATACAATGCAAATTCTTTGGAGGGTCTTAATGGCTTTTAAGAAGACAACCTTGTCTGCTCTCTGGAGAATGGAGAGAGGTAGGTAAGAGTGCAGGGAGCAAAGTGGTAGGAAGAAGCCAGAGAGGTAGGCAGAAGTCTCGTCAGACAGGGCCTTGGAGGACGGGCTTAGGCTTTTGTGCTTGATCCTGAAGGCAGTGGGGAACCATTAAAGAGTTTTAAACATCAGAATCTCTGGGGCAGCTCATTCTCACCTTCATCAAAGACTGCCCACTAAGTGCCAATTTAGATAGACACTGGGATGTACTTCTATGAACAGTGCCAGTTCCTAGCCTGGGACCTCATGATCTAAGCTGGCCTCAAGTCTCCCCCAAAGAGAAAACAATCTGAATACAGAGGATTACAAGGTTACTCGGAAGCCCCAGAGATGGGCAGGGATGGGCAGCCTATAATTTTTTTTTCCACTCCATGTCTCAGGCTGCACTTTGTAACCTTGATACTGGATTTGAGTGGCCTTCGTTTCATTTTGTTTCTGTATTAGGAGACTGCATAAATGTAACAGCAAATCTCAAAAACAAACAAACAAAAAACCCAAAACAAAAAGAAACCCAAGAAGAAAATATTTCCAGTCCAATCAATCACTCACATTATTTCCAGCAAAACCGGATTTAATGGCAGGCTAACAAAACCAAGCTGTGGCACTCTCCTTTCCTCTGTTTCAAAGACAATACAAAGCAAACTAAAACAGAACCAAATTGGCATTTTTTCATAATTATTGCAGTCAGGGATCACAGTCACTGGAAAACAACATGCAAATATATAGAAATATGAAAATGAGGCTAAGAGCAGTGAGAAAATCCAGTACTTTGGAATTGGAATTTCTTTTCATTCTCCTATATTCCTTTGGGGAACAAATTTTTTCTGTCCCCCATGACTGATTTACCACAGAGATTCCTGTTTTCTGAAAAGTCTTTCCAAAACATTTCTCTGGTCTGTCCTGCTTCTTTCTCTTCTTAACCTTTGGTTTCTCAATGCTTTTGAAATGAATGGAGGGGTATTTGTTTGCCATGGTGAAACTTTGTTCAGAATTGAAAAACATCACTTGTCCTTTGGTTGAATATTTATAATTCAGTTGAATATTTACAAAAGTCTGCATGGCCTCCTTCCAAGAGCTGTTTGAGGCGGGGGCAGGATTGAGTCCTGGTGGCAGGGACACTTGGCAGCACCAAAGGAGGCTGGACACAGGGCTTATTTCAAATCCATGGGTCAGTAGCATCTACTGACCACTGAGTACATCCACTGAGGGTTGTCCAGGCCCCAAAATACACACACACACCATTTCCATCACACTTAGCATTTTCACACACACTATTCTGTGTGATCTTCAGTCATCATGGTCCTGCTCTCAAAATGATTTCCCTCTCATGGGGGAGCCAGGAAGACACTCAAATGAACAAAGAGCACACAGACGGTGATAATTTCGTGCTGAGCAAAAGAGACAGTAAATTCAGCGGGGTGGAAAGGCCAAGGCAGGGGGCAATTTATCTGAAGATGAAAAATCCACAGAACTCTGGCGCTAGGGATCATCTAATCCAGTGTTTGAGAATATGGGCTGAAACACAATAGTGAGTCACAGTATCAATTCAGTGGGTTAGGACACCTTGAAAAATAAAACAGATTACAAAAGAAAGTGGCAGAATGTATTGTTCACGGTCAGAGTAAATGTTGTTTCATGAAACTTTTGTCTCAGTTTGTAATCTGTATTATAAATAGATATATATGGATGTTCTGGGTCACAGTGGAAAATATACGTCTTAATGTGGGGTCATAGCCAAAATCAAGTGAAAGCCATTAATCTAGTCCAGTGCCTTCATCTCATGTTTTTATTTTTAAGGTTAATTTTCCATTACATAAGTAGTATCTAAACAAATTCCCCTTTTAAAATTTAAGTTATTGGAAATAAAGCTTGCCCTTGGATCAGCATTCCTCATCCTCAAAGGTAATTCCTATTAACATTTGGGTGGGTGTATTTCCAGACCTTTTCCTATGATGTTACCTATATATACACGCACCTTTAGAGAGGACATAGTATTATTTAATATGTTTATGTACATACTTAACTAAATCAACCAGGCTCCAACCAGAAAACAAATAGCATAAATTAGAATTCTCTGAAAAGAGTGAATGAAGAGCCTGTTTATAAAGGTGCAGGCATGTGATGAAGTTGTGGAGGTAGGCAGGGGTTAGACGATACAGGGTCTAGATGACACAGGGTCCTAGGCCAGGTGAAGGAGTTTGGATTTCAGGGCAGTGGGAACCCGTTAAGTGGGCAGGTGGCAAGATCTGATTAAGGGTTTTAAAAGTTTACTCTGGCTGCTCCAAGGAGACTGGGTTGCAGGGAAGCAAGAGTGAAAGCAGAAAGAAATCAGGCTGGAGGCTGGAGCAGTCGTTCAGGGCAGAGAGGCTGGGGTAGGGCTGGAGCCGTGGAGATGGAGAGAAATGGACCAGTGCCGGTCCTGTTCTGGAGACAATTAATGGTGTTGGGAAAAGGATGGGATGGTGACATATCAAGCAGAGGAAAGTGAAAAAATGATGTGGTCTCAGAGCGATGAGAAAGATAATGCCGACATCAAGGACAGAAGCAGCCCAGCCAGGGGAACAAGCAGATGTGAGGGACAGACAAGCAATGCGTTGGTCGAGTGAACAGAGTCTGAGGTGCCTGTAACAGAGCCTCCTGTGGAGCTGTCCTTCAGAACCTTGTAATGTGAGAGTTGGAGTGATTATGAAGGCTGCTTCCTGGCGACAGTGTCTGGACCATTTCTGCCACCTTTGCGCCACAAGCCCAACCAGCATGGCAGCTTGTGTGGCCTAGAGGGAGAGCCTGAGTGGGCACTGAGGGCAGGGGAAGGAGAATGGAAATCTGATGATGAAACACTGAGTTTTAAAATACATTTTTTTGACAAAATTACAGAGATGGAGAACAGACTTGTGGTTGCCAGTGGTTAGGAACTGGGTCGGAGGATATATAGAGAGAAGGAGATGGGTGTGACTATAAGGGAATAGCAAGGAGGGTATCTGTGGTGATGGAGCAGTTCTGTCTCTTGAATATGGAGTTGATATACAAGTCTACACATAATAAAATCGCATAGAACTTTAGACACACACACGTGCATATAAAACTGGCAAAATCTGAGTAAGATTTGTGGATTGTACCAATGACAATTTCTGGTTTTGTTTTAGGTATTAAGACGTTACCATTGTGGGAAATGGGGTGAAGAGTATATGGGATTTATTCGTACTTCTTTCTAAACTTACGATGAATCTATACTTATTTCAAAACAAAACGATAAAAAAGAATAAATAAAATACATTTTTAATGATATACACAGTACCAGACGTTTGAAATACCAGCCATATTTGAACTTATTGGCAGACACCATCAGAACTAGAACTTAAGAATCAAAAGCGTCACAGGTGCAGTTTTTTGGGAGTCAGACTCTGAGACAGGGATGAGCACAC